CAACTTATTTCTTGTTATAACTGGTAATTCTGAAGTTTTGCCAAATAATGATAGAAAAGGCAAAATTTTCTCTCCTGGACAGAAGAAAAAATTCTCTATATCAAATGAATACCGTGTAAATTTTGAAAGAAAATCAGCAGGACTTTCATAGGAATAACTATATGCCAAAGTTTAGATCATCAAATACCATGGAAATTTCAGTGTAATTTTCATTCCTTGGTTATTTTCTGTCATTTACTTTTCTTTATATTTGTGGATTTATTTCAGTGATAAAGAGTAATGGAAAGAGCAAATATGCATCTAGAGAGAATTTTTTGGGAGGAGGAGAGGATAAGTTGTCTATTGAGCTATTTAATTCTACCACAAACATATTTACTATATGTTTAATTATAAGTTTAATTATAAGCAGTTCTCCCACTTTAACATGCATTTAAGAGTGTTGGATGGTAAATTAAAAGTACAAGTCTAAGTCAAATCTGAACCACAAATGATTATAGCAGATTGTCCTATGTTTGATCTTAAGTGAAATCTTAAGATTTTAATACTTGATGATTGATTCAGTAGGGGAGATTATTAGCATCATAGTCTAGGTGAATATGCTTTTTTTCCTGTGTATTTCATTTAGTGTTACTGTGCATTGCTTGCCCATGTATTACTGAAAGTATCATGGAAGGTTTGGCATAAGTGATCTGAATCAGGGGCTATGCGTGAGGGTTTTAGCCAGGAAATGGGCTATAGAATAATGGTTCACTTGCTGATTTTTTTTCCCCAGTAACTTTGTTTTACAAATTAAGAATAATTCATTTTTTAGAATATTTCATAGAAGGCCAATATATCAATAATAGTCCAACAAGAAATAATACAACCACTAGAAACCCAAGCATATGTGAAAGGAGTGTGTGTGTGCACGCACACACACGCATATGTGTGCATGTGTTCATCTACATTTCAAGAGATTTATTGTGAAGAATCAGTTTATGTGATTGTGGAAGCTGCCTAGGTGACAGAAATACAGAGCTCTGAGCACAAGGCAGCTTGTCAGGAAGAGTAGGTCGAAACCCTCAAGTATTGACTCAGGACATAGAAGAACCAGTACTGTAACATCATGTAACTCAGTAGTGCCCCAAATTTTCTGATCAAGGAGATTATGGGGCCAAGAGGAATGTGATCGATGATGCAGTGTGTTCCTAAAGAGAGTAACATGGAGAGAAAACATTCTCTCAGGATTTCTCAGAGAGCAAATTGGTCAAGCAATGACTGAAACTCATCCACATGGCTGACACTGACAAAGGATCTACAAAGTGCGGTACAGGGTTTCAATATAAGTCCTGAGGGGACTTGACTGACTGTGTCAGATACAAATTACATTCTTTGTTATATAGGTCTTGCTTTATCTTGGTCTTATCCATCCAGCAGAAAAGTGTAGAAATGAGGTATAAAAAGTGAAGCCATGTTAATATGCTGAGCTGTGGAAGGCTCAAGTCATCAGATTTGGACATTGCCAGTCCTGTGGATAACCTGCTACTATTGTGGACTACTGAACTATATTGGAATATTTTGCTGAGTTCACGTACTTACAGTATTTGGATGTCAATGGAATACCCATCTCTGACAAAACTGAACAAAAAAAGGTGATATAAATGAAGGACAATTTTGTATCTGTATATACAAAATAGTTAGAATAGATATACAGCTACTTTCTCTTAATTCAATAAGAAGAAAGATCTGTACTAATAGTGTTTGGACAGGATATCATGTCTGCATCTTGTGCTATGAATGACTACTACAAGACAACAATATGCAATGTATTAATTGTTGTAACTCTCCTACCAACCTGTTTTGAAGCTGTCACATTGCAATTTTTTCTCAATAAAATTAATTTTAAAAAGGAGGTAGAAACCCTCAAGTGTGAGCTGAAGCTGGAGTTCTTTTGGGGGACTTCTTCTAGAAGGAAATATTGGTCTCGGTCTTTCAAGTGACTATATAGGATGATCTCCTCCCTTAAAGTCAGCTGATTATGGGCTTTAGTTGCACTTACAAAGTGCCTTCACAGCAATGCTTAGATTATTCTTTAATAGAATAGTTGGCACCTGCAGCCCAGGACCACCAACGATAAACAAGAGTCTTTCCATGTGGCTGGCAATGGTGAAGAAGTATTGGGAGTGCAACAGAGAGTAATTAGACAGTGAGGCTTTCTTCCATTAGTGTGGGATGGGAATGAGAACCCTGAGGAATTCTCTGATCAAATAAATGTCACTGATGTGGCATAATTACAACCTAAAATGTCTATGAAATCAGGATACACTTTCTCTGAAAACAGGAACTTACCTTTGTGTGTGTGTGTTTAAGGCGACATGGTCTCTTTAATGCATAGGCCTGGAAAGACTCCTTCATGGGATTGTGACCCTCTTTTCTCCTCCACTTTCTTGCAAGTGTCTTGAGCTCAGACTTGCTTTTCTAACTTATTACTTGCTTGTCTGTCATGGAAAATGGTTTGTTACATTAATATAGTTCTTCTGTTTTTCAGCTATGAATAACATTTCAAGGCTTAATGTAGCTGTTGAAAATTCCCTTATTACTGATCTAGGTATTATCACCATAGGAGTTAAAGTCATGAGACAATTTTATGGGGGTAATTTCTTGGCAAAGTTAAGTTTTGTGCTAAAATCCTTCTGGGTGCTGCATACACTGATGGATGACCCACTGTTTAATAGGACATTTTATTGTTCATGTATGTGAGAAACGGGTGTGCTAATTAGACACTTAGAAGAAAATTCTGTTTTATTGTGTAGGTTTTGTGTGTGGGGTTTCCCTAGTTCTGTCATTTTCTGTGGCCTTTTAAAGTATATTTGCCAAATGACTGAAGGTATGAATGTAAAATTTTTTATAATATCCTATGAAATCTGAGCTAAATTATTAAGAATAACAAGGCAGATAGGGCAATATCTCACTTACTTTTCTCTCATTGCTGGAACAAAATACCCAAAACCTAAAATCAAGGAAATAAAGATTTATTTAGCTCATAGTTTGTGGAGGTTTCAGTCCATACTGAGCTGGCTCCAGGTAGAGTGGCACGGGGGAGAGGGCAGCCATTCATGGTGCTAGAAAACAGCAAACAGCAAAGGGAGGAGCAGCAGCTGAGGCTGCTCGCAAGCCTCTCTCCCTTCCTTACATTTTATTCTGGCTATCTGCCCCAGAGTGGATATAGCACTCAGACCCATAATCCAAGCATTGAATCATGAATTAATCACAGACTCTAGAAGCCACCCCAATGACTGCATGAGGTTTTTCAGAGACAATTAGACACAAACCATAACAGAAGTTCCTAAATGGCTTGCTATGGTCTAGCAAAATTCCAAATCAAGCCTAACACTGTGTCCCTGAGGACTACATCTGCCCCCAAACATTTCTGTTTGTCCTGCATGGTGCTGTGTGATTTTACTGTGTGTTTTGTACCGGCTGACAATGCGCTGTCATCTATACTCCATGCTGTGACACAACTGGATCCTTCAAATATTAATTCCCTATCCAGACTTAGGGTTCATGAGAACCTATCAGCAGATAGAGTCTGCAGTAGATGTGTGTGTACTGATGTCTTCAGGGGGCCTATAAGGGGTCATAAGATTAATGGGGGAAGCAATTGTGACCATGCAGTGTGTGCAAGAGAGCTGTGTTTATGATATCTATTTTGGCCTCCCCTTCACTAGCCCTGTCCATATCTCTAAGGATGAGGGCTACTGGAGGGGGCTGGAGGCAAAGAGGAAAGACATTTTAAGTGCTCTTTGGGTATCTGCGGTAAAGCAGTGGAAGCTGTTGCCTGGCAAGATCCTGTTCATTTTATTTTATCTCTGGATGATGCACTGAGGGGAAAGAATGGGATAAACAGGAAGGAAGAAGTACAGATAGAGAGAGGGTATAACAATGAAGCCAGAGAAAGGCTTTGGATCTAAAGGGGTGGGAGATGGTTCAGAAATCTCTGGAGCTTTGGATGAAGAAGAAGGATAGGACAAGAGGAGGGGCTGAGTCCTGCTGTGGACAAAAATGTTGAAGCAGCATTCTCATGAGGCTGTGAGGCCAGACGTGATCATGACTTTGGAAAAGCAGTGCACAGGAGAGTTTGCTAGGTGGAATGTCACCAGGTCAGGCAGGACGAGTAAGCAAGCTTGACCTCTGTGGAAGGCCTGTAGGTTGTCGGGTAGATATTATGTCATAGGTTGACAATGACTAACCTATTGCTACCTTCTTCTTTATACGGATAATAAAGTTTCATAGAGTTTGAATATTGGTGAAGGTCTTGGAGCAGAGACAAAATTTAAGCCCAGGTCAGCTTAATCCCAAATAGAAACATTTTACCTGGCGGAACTGCTGAAGCCTTTTGAGGAGACAGTAATACAGTAAAGGTCAGAGAGAGGTGAAGGAGTGGTTAGGACACTTGTGGGCTCCACAGTAGGTTACTATTTTTGCTTGGCAGATCTATCCCTGGAGTCTGACGTGATTATTAATACCAACAAAATGGTAATGTGTTTTTAATCCCATTAACATAATTGTTCAGGCTTTTATACTCATATTTTAGGAAGTATTAAACTTAGTTATAACCCACATAAGGAGTTAATGATCTTTTTGATTCTATAGACTGAGTTTATCCATCCACTGCAGGGGTGGGATTATGTTTCTGCAGGTGTTGTTGGTGTGGGTTTTGTCTTAAGGTCTTAGTCATTATGATTAAAATTACTCAGTTTCCCTAGATAAAAAGGTATAAAAGTGTGCTTGAAATATTTTGCTTTTGCATATTTAGATTTGGATGGAACCAGCCAACTGAGCTATTCTGAGATTCTGTCTTGTGAAGATCATCCCATCTCGACCCTTTCCCAATCCTCATGTGAAAGAGGAGATGCCAGGTACCATGTCGCATCTCATCAAGAGGCCAGTGCAGTCCAAAGCCCCAGTCATCAGTCCCCAGACGGGGGCTTGGAGGAGGAGGCAACTTTCAAGACTCGTGGATTTGAAGATTCCTATGTCACTGATAGCTCCTCTGTGTGGAGTCCAGAGGTGAGTTATTCTTGTTCCATCCTTCCCTTTAACAGTGTGTGCTCAGTGGCTTCTTTATTCTCCTTCTTGTTTCCTGTCTCTCCCCCTGCCAAATTTCCCAAGAAAGGAAAAATTGCCTTGAAAATTAAAGACTCTAAATTTTGTAGATGAAATAAGTTTTTAGATCCCCCAAGGCCCTTGTGCACTTCAGAGTTTCAAAATGGAAAAAGGCTTCAAAATGTCAAGAACATAAACAAGATTCAAAGTGGGAAAAATGGTAGAGAAAAATGAAGAATGGTAACAAAACTTACCCTTATAGACTTATTTGTATGCAAAGGAATATTTACTTCTTTGGAGAAACTGGTTTATTTCCTTCCTGGTTTTATTTAAGTAGAGTCTATTATATTTACTAAAAATCATGAATTATAATTGTTTGAAATAAAAGTTAGTTGAGGGCCAACGAGATAGTTCAGTGGATTAAAGCACCTGCTTAGGCAGATGCAGGGAGACTGGGGTTCAATCCCCAGCATGCTGTACTGGCCCCATCCCCAAGGTGTGCTACAACAGCGATTGAGACTGGGCATGGTGGCATGCACCTGTAATCCCAACGCGTGGGAGGCTGTAAACAGGAGAATCACTGTAGACTTTGTGCTAAATACATTTAAAAAATAAAAAAAATCATCTGTAAATTTAATAAAGAAATT